AAGGGGTTGAATTGACTTAGTCTAAGGGAATAAGAGGCCATCAAAAAATGGACTATCACATCCACAAGATTTTTTATACAAACCTCATGGTAACCACTAACCAAATAATCAGAACAGAATCACACAAAGTAAGAGAAAACTAAGAGAACCCCCATACAGAACTAACAAATTGCATTGGTAGTCCAAAACACATGGGACGAAAAACAAAAGAAACGCAAAAGAACTGGAAAAAGAGTAATAAAATAACTGTGACAAGCCGCCATATATCAACAATTACCCTAAATGTAAATGGACTGAACTCTCCAATCAAAAGACATAGAGTGGTGGGATGGATTAAAAACAAGACCCAACAATATGCTGCCTCCAGGAAACACATTTAAGCTCTCAAGACAAACACAGGATCAGAGTTAAAGGATAGAAGACAATACTCCAAGCTAATGGCAAACAAAAGAAAGCATGTGTTGCCATACTTATATCAGACAAAGTTGACTTCAAGATAAAACAGGTAACGAGAGACAAAGAGGGGCATTATATAATGCTAAAAGGGACACTCCAGTAAGAAGACATACCACTTTTAAATATATATGCACCCAATACAGGAGCACCAAGGTACATAAAGCAACTAGTAACAAACCTAAAAGGAGATATTAACAACAACACAATAATAGTAGGTGATCTTAACACCCTACTCTCATCAATGGACAGATCATCCAGACAGAAAATAAATAAGGAAACAATGGACTTAAATGAAAAACTAGATGAGATGGACTTAATAGACATATACAGAGCACTCCATCCTAACACAGTAGATTACATATTCTTCTCAAGCATGCATGGAACATTCTCAAGAATAGACCATATGTTGGGAAACAAGGCATGCTTATACAAATTTAAGAAGACTGAAATCATAATAAGCATCTTCTCAGATCATAATTCCATGAAGAAATAAATCAACTACAAGGAAAAAAATGGGAAAGTGACAAAGCTGTGGAGACTCAACAACATGCTGGTAAACCACCAGTGGATCATTGATGAAATTAAAGGAGAAATTAAAGCATATATGGAGACAAATGAAAATGAAAATACACTGTACCAACTCATATGGGATGCAGCAAAAGCAGTCCTGAGAGGGAAACTCATAGCAATACAGGCCCACCTTAACAAACAAGGAAAAACACAAATAAGCAACCTCAAACTATGCTTAACAGAATTAGAAAAAGAGGAACAAACTAAGCATAAATTCACCAGAAGGAGGGAAATAATAAAAATCAGAGCAGAAATAAATGAAATTGAAATAACAAAAACAATAGAAAGGATCAATGAAACAAAGCGCTGATTCTTTGAGAAGACAAACAAAATTTACAAACCCTTAGCCAGACTCACCAGGAAAAAAAGAAAGAAGGATCAAATAAATAAAATTAGAAATGAAAAAGGAGAAATTACAACAGATGACACAGAAATACAAAAGATTATAAGAGAATACTATGAAAAACTATATTCCAACAAATTGGACAATCTAGAAGAAACGGATAAATTCCTAGACTCATACAGCCTCCCAAAACGGAATCAAGAAGAAATAGAGAATCTGAATAGACCAATTACAAGTAAAGAGATTGAAATAGTAATAAAAAATCTCCCAAAAAATCAAAGTCCAGGCCCAGATGGCTTCACTGCAGAATTTTACCAAACATTCAAAGAAGACTTAATACTTATCCTTCTGAAACTATTCCAAAAAACAGAGGACGGTGGAACACTTCCCAACACATTCTACGAGGCCAACATCACCTTGATACCAAAGCCAGGCAAAGACAATACCAGGAAGGAAAACAACAGACCAATAGCCTTGATGAACATAGATGCAAAAATACTCAACAAAATATTTGCAAACCGAATACAGCAATGCAATAAAAAGATCATACACCATGATGGGATCGAGTCAAGATGGCGGCGTAAGCAGACTCAGAACTCACCTCCTCCAATGGACACAGCCAATTTACAACTACTCATGGAAAAATTACCCCTGAGACAGAACTAAAAAGTGGATAAGAAGAACTCCTGCAACAACGGACAATCCTAACTGAGGTAGAAAGGTCAGAGACTCCCTTCTGGGGAGGAAAAACCCCGCCTTCACAAGCCACCAGCTTCACGGCCACCGGGAGCAGCCCACAGGTACGTAGCCCTCCATGGAGGCACAGGGCCCTGAGCCGGGGAGCGCCCCCGCAGTGGGCATTTTGTGGACCCAGCACAATCGAGACCAGTGGCATAATATCTGACTTTGCCTGCTACTAAAAGATTGGGGAGTACCCTCAGAAAACCCGGTTCACAAAGAAACTAAAACTGGCTCTTAAAGGGCCAGAGTGCAAACTCACCCATTTCAGAAAGCATCCTAAAATCACCAGAAAGAAAGGTGCACAGTGCTTTGGTGACAAGACTCTCACCTAAGAGGCCCTGAGTGCATCTC